CATATATATATATATATATATTTGCATTTTTTTATAAGTTTTAAAATAATTTAAGAATTTATCCGTGTTGATATTTTAAAACTTGTTTTTTTTTACTATTTTCTTTTTTATATATCTAGTAAAAAAAAATTCCGGAATTGTAGTAATACTCTTAACATTAAGTGGCTAACATTAGAAAGAAAATATGCTTCACTGTCATTACAAAATTGAGACAACACATTGCAAATAATTTAAAATCATAGTATACTCACCATAGACTGCTGTAACTATTATAAGTAATGCAAAGTAGTACCGCATCTTTTCAGGTGATTCTTAAATGATAAACTGAGAAAACTGATTTCTTTCCACTCAACAATCACTTACCGGAATTTAAAGGGGAAGGAAATCGACGGTGTTAATGATTACTAAGGCTACTAATTAGTATAAATTTGTGCTGCAATAATTTATTGAAAGGTCATATACATGAATTTCTAGATAAAAGAGAAACGGATGCTTTTGCTTTTCACCAATATTTCCGTTTCAGAGATTTCTGTAAAAGTAAAATCATTATATTTCATTCTTTATTTATGGGATATGTAGTTTTGATTAATTTGAAACAAAAATTATAATAAGATTAACGAAAAAGGAAGAAGAACTTCCATTATTTTCATAAATTTTTTTTTTAATGTAAGTTTTTGCAGCTTATTTTGCTTCCTATACAGTTTGGAACTAAATTAATGAAATCAAACTACAACTTATCACTTGTAATTTACACGTTAGTAAAATTGTTGTTGTGATATTGATTAATTGTTTACAGTATTTTTTCTTTTTGCATTGGAAAATAGGCAAATTTGCTGCAATCAAAATTGAAGGATTCGTTAAAATCAATAAATATAGGGAAAATAATATTGTCAGAATAAGCATAGAAATGTTGATATTTTCCAACAGAATGCCAACGGAAATCTTTCTTGACATCATTGTAAAAGTGTAAAAGTTTATTTTGCTTTTCATCGCTTTGTAGATGAACAAAAAATCTTTTCTTTTTAAAATGATTTAAAATCTGAATGGTTCATAGCACGAAGCTTTACTTATATTCATGTTTTAATCAGTTTTGCATTCAATTGCATAAAAGCGGAATTTTAAAAGTATTTTAAGCAAATGCTGTTAAATATCGTTAAACAATAGAGGTTTAATTAAAATTAAAATGATATTCCCTTAAATTACTTTACGAGATTACATTAAAAAGTATGGCACTTGAATTAAAATTTTTTAAAATTTACAGTTCTTGATTATTTTATTGATTATGGATAACATTTACAGATCGTAATTTGCAATTGAATTCCAAAAGCATGGAGTTTTCTTGTCAAAGTTTTGTGGGCGTCTTATCGCATATCAATATCTCGAGTGTAAAGAAACATTGCATAAGCAAAAACCCTAGTGGATTATATATAGGTTGAGCGAGATTTATCCATTTATGTGTACAAATTACGCCGACTGTTCAGTGTAGGGGGTTAGGGAACTGGCCTTGCATCAGAAAGGTTCTGGATTCGAATCCCGGACAAAGCGTGGACCTTTTCATTCTCTGTACTATCTGTCATTACTCTGTGAGCAACGTTGGTCCACCAAATATGGTGCCTCTGAAAGAGTGACCAACAAATCTGCCCTTCAGATGCCTGTATGACGAAAGGTCATTCTCCAGGTGGGCATTAGAAAAAAAGAAACAAATTAAAGCCTAAATTTAGCTTTGATATAAAGGAATACCGAGGCTATATATTACAATAAGTATTTAAAATGATAGTGGAAGATATCAAAAGAATGGTTGGTAGAAATATGATTATATTAATAACTTTCTATTATTTGATAATAAATAATTATTTATAAATTAATTAATTGTCAAAGATTACTAATTATACTTTTATAGGTTGCGATTGAAACAGTTGGTTGATGGGTCTTTTTAATTTTAACGAGGGCTTATTCTACAGACTGAAGGGATTCGAAATGTAGTTTTATGAAATTTGTTTTCATTCTGAAGATCTGAAGCATGTGTGTTAATAGTTGCATATTGGTATTCATAGGATTATTAGTATTCATAGGATAGCTTTTGCTTTCAATTGAAGTACTTATTTCAAAATTTAGTCAAAATGGTATTTTGTCATGACAATATTCTATTCACGGCAGATTTCAGTTTAGATATCTTGGTTGGTCACAAGATTTTTCCCCCACATAGGAATTTTAGTTGAAAATTCAAATTCTTAACTTGCTAAAATATTAGTTTGTGTAAAATGAAGTTGAATGTTGTTTCTTTTTATATATAAAAAAATGCTTTAAAGACAGAATTGTAACTTTTTGAGTTTCACTATCTTACGTACATAACCAACTCTCTCAAAACTTTCAGAATACATTTAGGAAATTTCTTTTTT